AAAAAAACCCAGGAGCAGCACAGGAATCATCTCCTCCTTGGAGGCTTTGGGGATATTTATAAGTGAATCAAGCGAGCTGAAAATGGAATTTGCAAAGCAGCCACCACCTCGCCCAAAATTACACAAAATATGTTGGCTTGGAAGCCTTTTCCTCTCTGAGGGAGAAAGAAAAACTCCTGTCTTGGAGCTCCTGGAGCACACAGACCTGTTATTTATTGATGGTGGCAAAAGCCCTTTGAAGAGGGAGGAGAGGAGGGAGGAGGAGAGGAAAAGGCTCCCACCCAATCTCCCAAAACCCACAAATTCCCTGCCATGATTTTCTTTGGGGAGGGGAAAAAACTGGGCCCTTGCTCAAAGCAAGCAAAACATTGCAGATTTGTTGCTGTTCCAAAGCACACAAGGGTGTCCACAGGCACCTCCTGCACAGCCAGAGCATCCCCAGTGCCATCCCACAGCAGGGACCAAATCCCAGGAGCTGGAATGCTTCTCCTTCCAGGCCAGGGTATTCCATGCAGTTAAACAGCAATTAAAGCCTCTGGAAGGTGCAGCAGCAGCAGCAGCACAGTTGGAGGCAATTAAAGCCTCACTGGCCTGTGAAAGCATGAGAGGTAATTTTAGAAATCTCTTCATAAAAGCAGCATTTCCTCTGCTCAAACTGGATAAGAACCATGAGAAAATGGAAAAATAAAAAACAAAAAAGGGGTTTCCTTGTGACAGATCATTATATTTCACAGGGAAGTGGGAGAAAACCAAGGGGATGAGGGAGGAGATCCCAAATCAGCTGCCAGGTCAGCAAGGGCAGGGAGATGGAAGGAGGGGCCCTGGATGCAGCACCCAATTCCCAAGGGATCCATCAGAGGGGAGCAGGAACAGCAGTGGCATCACCACAGGAGGAACCTCTAAAAAGCTGCAGTTTGACACTGTCCAGACTTCATTACAGGAAATAACTGCCAGCTTTTCAGATTGTTTTATTCAAAAATAAAAACCAAGTGCAGGATTCTTCACAGCTGCTGGCTGGAGTGATCCCTGCCAGCCCCAAAATGGGATTTGTTCTGCAGCTCTCAGCTCAGGCTGGGCACCCCATTCCAAAAGGCTGAGAAAAGTACAAAAAAACCTGATAAAAGCCCTCAGGAACCATCCCCAGAGGGAAAGTTAAAAGCTGAATATGGGGAACTCAGCTGATGTGGTGGCAGGACAGGTGTTGAGGGATGGAAATGTTAAAGAAAGCAGAATAAATCACACTGGAATGAAGCTCAAACTGATCGTCCAGAGGGGAAAAAAATCCACAGCTGAAGATCCCTTGGAACAGGAGCCTCTGGAAGTGAGTGAGACAAACTCTGGGATTTCTCTTAATTGAGCCAAGGCAGTGAGATCATGTGGTGCAAGAGGCTTTTCCTTCTCCAATTGTCTGTTAGATCAGAACAGAAAAGGAAAAACAACCCAAGGTGCCAGCAGGACGCTTGTCCTCAGCCTCACAAACAATCCATTCTCCTCTGAGCCTGCTGGAAATGAATCCAGGCAGAAGAGCCTTGGGCTCTGTCACCCCAGCCAGCCAAACACAATGCAGGGCTACAGGAAAATTTAATTTTGGGATAAAAATTTAAACCAAAAGTGGTTGCACAATGGTTTTAGGTTCTGTGCAACCCCCAGAAGTGCAGGACACAACCCCTCCTGCTTTGCAAGGTGACACAAAAGTGACATCAAGTGTGTCCCCAGCTCCCTGCTCGCTGTTTAAGCCAATCTCACTCCATCCTTCTGTCCCAGCCAGTGGCTCCAGGGAGCAGCAGATCCCAAAGAAATGTAGGGAAAAAGGGGAGGAAGGAGACAATAACAACACAGCACCCCTGGCTGCTGCCTCCCAGGTGGTTTGGGAGCAGTCCAGGAGGTTTGGATGAAAAATCAAGTGGTTCTCAAGGAAAGTTAAGTTATCCTTAAGACCCTTCTTGTTTGTGAATCCACGGAGCATATCAGGGGTCCATGGGAGCAAATCTGTGTTGGACACACACCCTCCTGTGAGAGGCTGTGGGGGAACCATCCCCAGGCTGTCCCTTCCCTGCTCAAGGTGGGCTCTGGACATCCCAAGGCTGTCCCTTCCCTTGGCTCAGGTGTCACCCCCACACCACCCTCCCATCACCCTTGGGAGATGAATGTACTGCCAAGAGCTCAATCCCTATCAGCTGTTATCTCTGCAGATCAAAACAAACTGCCTTTATCTCTGCCCTGATCTCTTCCCCATGCCAGCAGCACGGCCACAGAGCTCTCCCACAGAGCCCTCCAACACCCTGAGCTGCTTAAGCAAAACCCCATCCCAATCCCATTTTTGATCCCCGTGGAGAGAAAGCCACCCAATTCACCCGAGCAGAAACCCCCAATCCCACGTTTATTATGGAATAAACGCCAGCTGGTGCCTTCCCTTTGACATTTAGCTAATAATTGTTGCAGCCAAACGAGCTGACAGTGCTCACTCAGCAGCCCGTGAATGCCTCTGGTGTTTGACTGAGCGCTAAAGACAACACTTGCTGCTCTCCAGCTCCTCATCCATGTGGGTACACACACACACACAGCCCCTCCTGCAGCCCTCCCCAGCCTCGGGAATCAGCTGCTGGTCCTGCTCCAGTTTAGCCATTTGTTCCAGCCCTGTGGGCAGCAGGCAGGAGGGCAGGGGAAAGGGAAGGAGGCACCTCCAGCAAGGGGCTGGAATTTGTTTCTCATGAACAATTCTCTGGGATTAGCCAGGCAGCCACCACACCCCGACCCCTCTCAAGTCATGGTTGTGGCACAAGCTTAATTTACACCTTCAGGGTCTCATTTAATCCCCTGAGCACTGTTTTACCCACTGGGGATGTTCCTGCCCTTTAACTCCCACCTGAGCTGGATCTCCATTTTCCACAAGCCCCACTCTGGGCCCAAGTTCAGCGGCTTCACAAAAAATAGGTCAAGGAACTCCTCCAGAGCTCCTCCCTTTATTACTCCACACATCAGGGGGCTCAGGGTGGAGATCAGGAAAGGTTCATCCCCAGAGGGTGCTGGCACTGCCCAGGCTCCCCAGGGAATGGGCACAGCCCCGGGGCTGCCAGAGCTCCAGGAGTGCTCGGACAGGGATGCCCAGGGTGGGTTTTTGGGGGTCTGTGCAGGCTCAGGAACTGGACTCAGTGATTCTTGTGGGACTAAAAGGGACCCTGAAGGTGTAAATAAAGGTTGTGCCACAACCATGCCTGGGGTGCTGTGAGAGAGGGGTCAGGGTGTGATGCCTGCCTGGGTAATCACAGAGGGACAAATTTGATCTGCTGGGAGCTTACAGACACAATCACCAACCCCTTCTCCTCCTCCCTCAGCGTGCCCTGGTCCTTTCCAAGCTGCAGATTCACACCAAGTGTGACCTCCTGCACACACAGGCATCCCCTTTCCTCCTGTGCCATTCCCCTGGAGTGCCCAGGCACTGCCACACCAACGTCCCCAAGGTGCCCAGGCCCAGCTGTGCCAGGAGCTGCCCGTGCCAGCCTCCTGCTGAAGAGAAGTGGCTTTGCAAAGCATCATTTAGGGCAGCACAGGCTGTGCTCAGCAGGAGGAACAGGGAGCTGCAGAGAGCCCCTTCCCAGCCAGATCCATGTGGACAGACACCATCCAATGGCACAAACCCTCTGGGGACACCCCATGAGCTTTGGGGTGACCTTAGCAGCACACAGCCCCTCCTAGGCCATGCTCTGAGGTGTTTTCCCAGCTCAGTGAGACCCCTCTGGAGCTCTGGCCCCATCCCCACGCTGGCACCGGGCACTGCTGGGCTGAGCTGCATCCCCAGAGCCACCTGCAACGTCCCTGCCACCTCCTGTCCCCATTTCCCACGTCCTTGGGCTGCTCCTGCCAAGAGACACGAAGGCACACAGTCCCCGGGGAGGTGGCACCGTGTGCAGGAGCCTCCATGGACTGTCTGCTGCTGCCTCCTCGGCTGGGGACAGCAGTGGGACATGGTGATGGCACAGGGAGCCTGGCAGGACAGGGCAGAAGAGAGGATTTAGGAATAAAACCTCTCTACTGGCACAGGTAGAGATACCTGAGCTCACACCTTCAGACCCCCAGCGCACACAGTGCCCCCTCAGCAACACAAAGAAGTTCCCTGCCTCCACTCTGCAGGGCTGTTTTTCTGAAATAAACGCCTTTGTTTTATCTTTGAGAGGTGTTTCTAGCAGGAGGACAGGGATAAAAAGCCCTCCTCCACCGAAAGCCTCCTTCACACATGATTTGCTTTGTCATGGCACTTAAATACCCGCGCAGCAGCCAGGGATGGAGAACGAGAGCAGACCTGGGCAGGCACAGGGAAACTTCACAGCAATACCTGCATTCCTTAAAAAAAATAAATCGTCTTTTCCTGGTAGCGATGCCAGCCCAGGCCAATGCACGAAACACCAACAGATCCATCTCCGTGCCCTGGTGAGCGCTGCCGGAGCTTGCTCCATTTTGGGTCAGCCCAGGCAGCTTCAGATTACATCGCTGTGATCTGCGGCAGGGGAACAGCGGCTGGCCAGGGCACAGGGCAGCAGAAAAGGGAAAATGCACATTGAGGCTGTCAGAGCCCGACAAGCGAGCAGGGAGTCAGGGAATGGCCTGGGCTGGAGAGGCCCTGAAGGATCCCCTCGCTCCAAGGCGCTGCCAGGGCAGGGATGCTCCCGTTGTGGGGTGATCACGGTCAGCAAGGGCGGCACGGAGCAGCCCCGGGATGTGCCCGTGCCCAGGCAAGCCCCGGGGCGGCAGCGATGGAGAACAAAGAGCCGCGGGCTCCCGGCGGCTCCGGCTCCTCCCGGGCGCAGCGGGGGCCGCTCGGGCCGGCGTGCCCTTCACCGGGGCGATGCCAGCGCTGTCCTTGGGGACGCTGAGCTCTGCAAGGGCCGCAGCTCGGACAGAAGCCACCATCACCATCACCCTCACCCCGGGGCGGTGGGGCCGGCGGGAACCAAGCGGTGCCGCCCCCCGGTGCCCACGGTGGACAGGTGCCCGGTGCTCACCTGCTCGGCGCCGTAGGCCGTGGCGAACTGCACGAACTCCTCCACACGCACGAAGCCATCGCCGTCGCGGTCCAGGGCGTCGAAGACCGGCCGGAGGCGCGGCTCCTCCTCGGGCGGGGGCTCGGCGGAGCCCTCCGGGCCCGGGCTGTCCCCGGCCTGCCCCGGGCACCAGGGCGGCGGCTCCGCGCCGGCAGCGGCGGCATCAAGGGCCCAGAGGTCCAGATCCAGCTCCGGGCCCAGCTCTGCCTCCTGTTCCAGCTCCGGCTCCAGGTCCAGCTCGGGCTCCGGGCTCAGATCTGCCTCCTCCTGTTCCGGCTCCAGCTCCGGGTACAGGTCCAGCTCTGGCTCCGGTTCTGGTCCCAGCGCCGGCTCCGGTTCCCGTTGCAAGTCCAGGTCCGGCTCCGGTTCCAGGTCCAGCTCGGGTTCTAGGTCCAGCACTGGCCCCGGTTCTGGTTCCAGCTCCGGTTCCAGGTTCAGCTCCGGTCCTGGTTCCAACTCCGGCTCCGGTTCCGGTTCCAGCTCCGGTCCTGGTTCCAACTCCGGCTCCGGTTCCAGCTCTGGCTCGGGCCCTGGTCCCGGCCCCCGGGGCAGCGGGGGCTCGGTCCCAGGCGGACGCGGCTCCATCTTCACCGCCGGCGCTCCGCGCCCGCCGCCGCCCGCCCCGGGCCATGCCCCGCGGCCATGCCCCGCTCACATCGGGGCGGTGCCGGTACCGGTGCGGTCTCCGCGGCACTCACGGCTTTGTGCGAGGAACGCCGGCCCCGCCCGCCGACACCGGGGGCGGCCCCGCCGGTCCCGCCCTGCTCGGGGAGCGGCGGCTCCGAGCGCCGGGGCCGCGGGTCCTGCCCGGGACCGGAGATTAAGGGAGGCGGCGGCGGCACCGAGGAACAGCCCCGCGGCCCGCCCGCCCTCGCCGCCGCTCCGGGGCCGCACGCGGACAAGCGGCAGCTCCAGCCCGGCCGCCGCCGCAGTAGCCGGGGCGGTGACGTCACTCGCCTGCCGGTCCGGTTGGCCCCGCCCCTCCGCGGCGCGAGCCCGTGCCGAGACCACGCCCCCTGCCCGGCTCGCGCGCGGCGGGGGCGGGGCCGGCGGAGAGGGGCGGGGCCAGGGGAGCGCGAGCACGTGGGACCGGGGGGCAGCGTGAATGGGGACCCCAAATCCCCCGGCTGGGAAACCGTGCTCCGGGACCCTAAACCCAAACCATGCTCTGGGACCCCAAACCTCAAACTCAAACTGTGCTCCGGGACCCCAAACCGTGCTCCAGGGCCCAAACACAAACCGCGTTCCGGGACCCCAAACCTAAACTGTGCTCCAGGACCCCGAACTGTGCTTTGGGACCCCAAACCGTGCTCAGGGACCCCAAACCCAAACCGTGCTCTGGGACCCCAAACCACGCTCTGGAACCCCAACCCGTGCTCCAGGACCCTAAACCAAACCATGCTCCGTGACCCCAACCCCAAACCCAAACCGTGCTCCAGGACCCCAAATCATGCTCTGGGACCCCAAACCCAAACTGTGCTCTGGGACCCCAAACCCAAGCTGCACTCCAGGATACCAAACCGCGCTCCAGAACCCCAAAACCAAACCCTGCTCTGGGACCCCAAACCCCTGTGAGGGAACCGTGCAACAGGACTGCCCAGCTGCTCCAGGTGTGAGCCCCAAATCCCCCCGGGGAGATGAGCGGTGCTCCAGGACCCCCAACCCCAGTGGGGCAGCACTGTGTGCCTGGAATGCCTGAGCTGCTCCAGGGGGGAACTGAGCCCCGGGACACCCCTGGGACCCTCAATGGGTTAATTAATTAATTAATTAACACCCTTGCTTAGGGCTCACAGCCTGCAGGCTCCGGGCAGCTGCAGTTTCTGCAGGAGCACCGGGATGGACCCTGCTAACACAGCCCTGAGCTGGCCCAGCAGGTGGAATTACAGCCCCTGGGTATAATTAGCAGCAAATTTGATGAGCAAGAGCATCCCTGGCCCCAGTGACCCTGCCCAGGCCACGGCTGTGTGTGACATCTCAGGAGCAGCCTGGTTGGGCCACCATGTGTCCCTGAGCACACCCAGCCCTGAGAGCCAGAGCTCAGCAGCATCCTCAGGGAGGATGTCACCCCTGTCCTTCAGCCCAGTGCTGGAAGGATGGAAACCTCCACTCCAAATCCTCTTCCTCAGCACAGCCATTCCTAAAGGTGAGCAGGGCAGGAAGGGGCTCCTGGCTCTGTCCCACGGGGGGGAAGCCTCAGGCATCCCCTGCAAAATCCCCTGGACAATACCATTCCCAGTTTCCAGACAGCTCAGGCTGTGGGTTCCTGTGTGGATGGGGCTGAAGGTGCCTGCAGGGCTGGAGGTGACAGCCCTGCATGGGGCTGGCAGGGAAGGAGGTCCCAGGACAGGGCTGGAGGTGACAGCCCTGCATGGGGCTGGCAGGGAAGGAGGTCCCTGCAGGGCTGGAGGTGACAGCTGATGCTGTGAGGCAGCTCTGCAGCCCTGCATGGGTTCCTGCAGCTCCAGGCTGGGCCCAGAGCTCTGTCCTTGCCCTGGGGACACGTGGCCAAACTCAGCTCCCTCCTCCTGGGGCGGCCAGGACAGCTCTGAGTGCCCAAGTCACCCGGTGATGGTGGAACAGTGAAATCCATGGAGCCTCCCAGAGCAGGGCTGCAGGCCAGAGATGAGGCTGCAGCTGGGCAGGAGAGCCAGCACACACCACACAAGCACCTTCTCCAGGAGAAAACACATCCTGGGATCCAGCAATACTGCAGCCAGAGCCAAATCCCAAGAGCCCAGGCAAAGAATGCACGAAGATCCCAGCCCAAGCACTGCATCCCCATCCCCCTGAAGGGCTGAGCCTCTCACCAAAGCCCTCAGCACCTCCCTCTGCTGCTGGAACCCCCTTCCCAGAGCAGGGGCTGAGCAGCTGGCAGGTCCCCAAGCCCCTGGCCTGGAGCCTTGGGCACCACAGAGCCCAGGACTGGAGCCACCCAGGGCCCTGGCAGAGGGAGCAGTGGCTCTTCCCCTCCCTTAGTGCCCAGTTTGGAGCAGTGAGCTGGGCAGGGCACTGGTGCTCGTGCAGCAGAGAGAGGCATCACAGCTCCAGGAGGCAAGTTCTTTATTTGTGGCCTGGAGGAAGAAGTAAAACCTGGCGAGTCTACAATCAAGTAGGAAATACAATTAAGTGGGAGAAAGCTTCATTGAATCCAGGGTGAGCCTAAAATCTACCAGCAGCAGCAGGAGGGTGCACACGAGCAGTGTGTGCCCCCAGGGCAGCAGGGACAGGGCTGGCTCCAGCAGTGCCATCCTGCAGCCCAGCAGGAGGAAAGGATTGCATTCCAGCTCTAGCCCTTTGCTTGGCCTCAGCCTGAGTGTCTGCAGGACACAGTGTGACAGACAGATGGCTGTGGACAGACCACTGGACACAGTGCAGAGCTGGGCCTGGGGAATCTGCCCTCACACCACCTCTGCTCCCGGGAGAGGGGCACCCCAGCTGCATCCCAGGACCACTGTCCCAGCCAGGACCCCTCAGGGGACACAGCCACCTCCCCCTGCCAGGGTTTCCCCTCCCAAGAGTTGCCAAAGCAGAGCTGAGCCCCCCACGCTGGGTGACCCCGACCCCAGGTGGGCTGAGCTGCTCCCCCTCCCAAAAAGGAGCTGCTGCTGCTGCTGCTCAGGCTAAGACAGAGGAGGAAGAGGATGGGTACCCATGGGTGGCACTGCCTGGGGCTTGGCAAAGGCCACAGGAGCAGCTTGGAGGGAGCCACAAAGGGCCAGGGACCATCTGAGCCCTCCAAGCTGCACCCACAGCCACAGCAGCTCAGAGGGCAGCAATGGCACAGGGTGGGCTTGGTCCCCACCCAGCACCCCAGAGCTGTGTCCCCCAGGCAGACACAGGACTGGCAGTGTCACCAGAGGCTGTGGTGTCAGCAGTGGCTCCGGAGATGTCCCCACATGGTGTCCCAGGTCACGTCTGTCCGTCGGTCAGTCCCAGGCTGTCCATCAGTGGGGTTGGTTTGCTCCTGCAGCCCAGACATCTGCAAGAGAGGGTGGAGGTGGGGACAGAGCCCTGCTGGGGCCTGCCAGCTCGGGGAGGCTCCCAGGAGGAAGGCAGGACACCCCTTCCCTGCCAGGCTGCAGGAATCCATGCAAGGAAGAGGCTCTGGGGGACTCTTTGTGCTCAATCTTGTTGCTGGGGCACAGAAAATGGGCATCAGGTTCCTCTGGGGGAATCTCAGAGGTGTCTGGACAAGTGTCCACAAGACACCACATCACAAGCCAGGCTCAAAGGGAAAATCCAGCAGGTTCTGCTCATCCAAAGGACTGGCCATGAGGACACTGTACCCACTGCTGCAGGAGCCGTGCCCCAGGAGAATCGTGGTTAAGAATCATCATTTAAGTTGGAAAAGCCCTCTAAGACCATTAAATCCAACTGTTCCCCCAGCACTGCCAAGGCCACCACTAAAACATGTCCCCAAGTGCCACATCCACACGGTTTTTAAATCCCCCCAGGGATGAGGACTCTCCCACTGCCCTGGGCAGCTGTGCCACTGCCTGACTGTAGGAATGTGCCCCCTGTTGACCGAGTGACAAATTTAAAAAAGAAAAAAAGCCCAGAAGTTTCTCTCCTTGATTGGGTAAAGACACCTCATAGGACTTGGGGACTTCACCTCAAACTTAAGGACAGCCAATTGGACAGGAGTCAAAAAGTCCAACCTGAGCAATTTACTAGAAAAAGAAAAGAACAAAAGAACTAATGGCTTTTGTGAGGTGTTTTACCAGGGGCAAGGACCTCTTGCACCTGGCTTAGATTTTCTGTAAAGAGTTTTGTTATTTTGCCTTTTATTAAAACTTTTCTGTTTCTGACACTACCACAGAAGCCATCCTGCTGATTTTATGCCATCTGAGGTGGCTGAGCTATCTCAGGTGTGATATAAATCTCCAAGAGCCTATAAGACCTGGCTCAAGGAGACCATTACATCACCTGTCCACCCCTTCCATGAAGAAATTTTCTCTTAATACCCAACCTACACCTCCCCTGGCACAGCTTGAGGCTGTTCCCTCTGTCCTGTCCCTGTTCCCTGGGATCAGAGCCCAAACCACTCAGCTGTCCCCTCCTGTCAGGAGCTGTGCAGAGCCACAAGGTCCCCCCTGAGCCTCCTTCTCTCCAGGCTGAGCCCCTTCCCAGCTCCCTCAGCCTCTCCTCACAGCCCCTGTGCCCCAGGGAACAGCAGGGATTCCCTGAGGAGCCCTGCTCCAATCCCACGAGGGGGAAATGCAGTCACCTAGAGTTTAGCAGAGGAGGAGGCAATACCCAGCAAGGCAGAGAAGCTGTTGGGGGAGGTGAGCCAGCTGCCCCCGTCCACGACCAGGGTGGTGCCGGTGACGTAGGACGAGAGGGGGCTGGCCAGGTACAGCGCGCTGTGCGCGATCTCCGTCTTGTTCCCCGCGCGCTGCAGCGGGATCGCCGACAACTGGTTGGACTTCTCTGCAAATTTCCCACCTAAAAGAAGCAGGAAAGAGTCAGTTTGGACCATGAGAGGACTGTCCATCACCATGGCTGGCCAGGCACTGCAGCACTGCCCGTGGGGATGGCTGAGTGCTCCAGGGAACTGGGTGAGATCCTGTCACAGCCCTGGGATAAAAACCCGGGAAGATTTAAATGAGGAAAGTTTAAATAAATCACCAAGCCCAGCAGGGATTTTGTACTGACCCAGAGAGCTCAAGGACCTCAGAAAGCTTTAGAACCATGGAATGGTTGGGGTTGGGAGGGATCTCTCCTTCTCCTCCTCCCTTGCCATGGCAGGGACACCTCCCACTGTCCCAGGCTGCTCCCAGCCCTGCCCAGCCTGGCCTTGGGCACTGCCAGGGATCCAGGGGCAGCCACAGCTGCTCTGGGCACCCTGTGCCAGGGCCTGCCCACCCTCACAGGGAACAATTCCTCATTCCCAATATCCCATCCAGCCCTGCCCTCTGGCAGTGGGAGCCATTCCCTGTGTCCTGTCCCTCTATGCCTTGTCCCCAGTCCCTCTCCAGCTCTCCTGGAGCCCCTTTAGGCTGTGGAAGAGATTCTGAGTTCTCCATGGCTCCAGAGCAGAGCAGCTCTAACCCTTGGAACATCTCCATCGCCTCTGGACCCCTCTAAGAGCTCCAGGTCTTTCCCATCCTCTGGGGCTGCACCAGCACTCTGCTGATGGGCTATAACAGCCAACCCCTCAGGCAGGCAGAGTTTTGGGGGAGCACATTCCATCATGGCATCAGGGAGCCCAAACTGCTGCCAAAGCAGTGCCCTGGGAGGTACCAGGGGTGTGGGAAGGGCTGTTCCCACAGAGCTGTGCCAGCCAAGGCACAGCACAGCAGCAATCCCCACGAGCTGTGTGGCACTGGGGGTCCCTCCCAGTCCCACCCCCAGTCCCCTCCCGGCAGGGCAGTGCCAGGGCAGTGCCAGGGCAGGGCTGGGAGCCCAGGCTGCCTCACCCAGGCGTCGGAAGCCCTCGGTGCCCGTGATGGGGCCGGGGGCCAGGCTGTTCACACGGATGTTGTTGGGTCCCCACTCCACGGCAAGGTGACGGGTCATGGCATCTGGGGAGGGATTGCAACAGCACTGAGAAACAGGGAGCACAGCCACGCCAGAAACTTCTTGGGAGGGAGAAAAATGCCACAGAACAGTCTGGCTGAGAGCAAAGGGCCCTGGAGGGGAGAAGAGCCTCATCCCAAACCCAGGCATGCAGCAGCCACACCAATTCACCCCCATTGCCCCTCCCCAAGGTATCTTGTCACAGACATCTTTTATGGAAAATCCTTTCCTTAGAGTTTTTTCCTCCTGAGAAGCTGAGAGGCCTCAGGAACAAAATGTAAACAATGGTTATCTGCTGCTGTGGAATGCAACAGGTGCATCTGTGATTGGCCCATGTTAGATGTTTCTAATTAATGGCCAATCATAGCTTAGCTGGCTTGGGCTCTCTGTCCAAGCCACAAGCCTTTGTTATCATTCCTTCCTATTCTATTCTTAGCCAGCCTTCTGAGGAAATCCTTTTCTTCTATTCTTTTAGTATAGTGTTAATGTAATATATATTATAACATAATAAATCAAGCCTTCTGAAACATGGAGTGAGATCCTCATCTCTTCCCTCATCCTGGGACCCCTGTGAGCACCATCACAGTATCTTCCATGCCAGTATTTAGGAAGGAGTGGCTTCTTTTGTGGCTCAGAGCCCCAGCAGGGTGTGTGCAGGTACCTATGGCAGCCTTGGCAGCCCCAGCGTGCACCTGCAGGGCCTGCCCTCGGTAGCTCAGGGTGGCCGTGATGTTAACGATGACCCCGCCGTGGTCCTGGGGAAGAAAAGGAGATGTGAGTGAGGCAGGGAGCAGCACAAAGGCTCACAGAGGGCTCTGAGGGACAGGAGAGCTGGGCTTGGAGGGACAGTCACCCATAGGCACTGCCAAGCCATCACTGGGGCAGCTCTGATGAATCTCAGGGGTGGGGCAGCCAGCAGGAGAGGTGGGACACGCAGGGTAGAAGGAAAGGCCAAGGGAAAATGGCAAAGCTGGAAAGGCAGCAGGAGATCAGCTCCTCCAGGTGGCAGAGCATGGAAAGGTGCTGCAACAGCACAAAGCCTCGGGGCAAATGACAGGAGGAGCCTCCGCTCAGGGCTGGGATCCCTGGAAGGGAACAGAGTGGATCTGTGCAGGGAGGCTCCGGGTCCTTGCACTTCCCTGATTTCCCCAGGAGCACAGTGGGGTTTGACACTACCCCTGCCTACCAGAGCCTCTCCTCAGAGCCCCCTCTGCCACTTACCCGGAAATATTTCTCAAACAGCACCTTGGAGGTGTTGAAGGTGCCCAGGGTGTCGATGTCAATCACTGTCTTGAAGGCGTTGAAGGACAGGGCACTGGCTGGGCACAGGAAGTTCCCTGCAGCACCTGAACCACAGGGACACACAGTCAGGGCTGGGACAGGTGTCAGGGCCCTTCTGGGACAGGGAGGGTGAGGGACAATGTCTGCATGCATGGAGACAGCCCTGCTGAGGGATAAACTGGGGCTCTGTGTGCCCAGCAGCACAGCCAGCACGAGGGGAACAGGGATGATCCACACCCAGACAAACAGGGATGGCCACGCACCACACACAGATCTCTGCTTCCCCTGAGCCCCCAGGAAAACACCCTGCCCAGCAGTGAGCCCAGACAGCTGGGAGCCCTGGGAACAGTGCAGTAGGAGGGATAGTGCAGAGGGGCTCCAGAGCATCCCCATGGCCTCTGGACTTAGTCCAAGAGTTCCTTTCCCATCCTCTGGGGCTGCACCAGCACTCTGCTGATGGACTACATGAGCCAAACCCCTCAGGCAGGGCAGAGTTTTGGGGAAGCACATTCCATCATGGCATCAGAGAGCCCAAACTGCTGCCAAAGCAGTGCCCTGTGCAGCCTCACCATTGATGAGGATGTCAATCCTCTGGAACTCCTGCAGCGCCGCATCCACCGCGGCCGCGATGGTCTGCGGCTGCCGCACGTCCATGCACAGGGGCAGGCACTGCTGCCCTGTGGCTGCCACCAGCTTCTTCGAGGCCTGAAAGGACAAAAAGACACCTGAGAGAGCCTGGCTGCAGCCTGCTAGCCCTGGGGTAGCCAGGGAAAGCCAGGGAAAGTATGGTGTAACCCAGCACACTGGGCAGGCTGAGCCCAGGTACCTGCGTGGGCTGCCATGGATCAGCACAGCCCAGGCAACCTCTCTGCAGGGCAAGGACAAAGGTTGGACCCCAGCAAGGCTTTTTTTGGCATGAGCCCAGGCATAATTGCCCTTTAAATCCAAAGAGGCAGTGGGCAAAAGGGCAAGGACAGAGCAGCCAGGTGTCAGGCTGTGAAACAGAGCAGCTCTGCAGCTCAGGGTTTGTCACGTGCCACCCCTGTGGCTCATTAAGAGTAAGATTTTCCCCAGCAAATTAAGCACAGGGGACACACCTAAGCTCAGCAGCAACACCACACAATACCCAGAGCTGCTCCAACTTCTGTTTTGGGCTCTGTGAGAGGTCCTGAACCCCAACAACACACAGTTGCACAAGCAGCTGGAGTCCTGGACTGCAGATTCTGTGGCCTCAGAAGACTCTGGCCTCTGAGGATTAAAAACCTGCTGAGCCAGCTTCTTCTGGCACATGAGCATGAGGGGGTGGGAAATGACAGCCAATCACACCTGCACTGTCCCCTCTGCCCCAAAACACAGGACACCTGTGCAACCCACAAACCACACAGCCCCTGGCATCTGCTCTTACTCCACACTGAGCTTTCAGTCCAACCCTGGGCTCTGCCCTGCTGACAAACCTCCCCCACAGCTCATTTCTGCCTCTCTCCCCTACAAAAAGCCATCATGATCATGGAGTAGCCCTCACAAAGCAGGTTCCAGGTTAAAAGAGCTGTGCTGTAGATGGGGTGGGTGCTGCCCCAAACCCACACCCACACTGCTGGAGTGTCCGGGGCTTGCAGGCTGGGAAGCACTGGAAGGCACTGGGAGGCACTGGGAAGCAATGGGAAGCACTGGGAGCCACAAGGAGCCATTGGGAAGCAATAGAAAGCACTGGGAAGCCATTCCTCCTACTGCACTGTTCCCAGGGTTCCTGGCTCCACAGGCAGAGAGCAGAAGGATGTCGGGGCTCGCAGGTGAGCCCGCACTCACCTCGGCCACCCGCTGCAGGTTCCTGCTGGCAATGACGGTGCGGCAGCCGTGCCTGCGGGGAAGGGGCAGGTGAGACGGGCCGGGCTCCCCAGCGGCACCCCGGGATCAGCTCGGGGCTCCCTGCAGGAATCGCTGCTGCTCCAGGCCCGCGGGACGGGGACAGGCAGGGCCCGGTGCCCGGAGCCTCCCCGAGGGCTCTGCCGGCCTCGGCTGCACATCCCGGGGAAAGGGATGGGACGGGGGAGAGAGAAGAGAAGAGGGTGAAGAGGAGGAAAGTGAGGGGAAAGAAGGGAAAAGTGGGGAAGAGAAGAAGGGAGCAGGGGAAAGAAGAAGGGAAGGAGGGGCCGGTGCCAGGGCAGGGGCTCCCGCACCTCATGAAGATCTCGGCGATGCGGAAGCCGATGCCGGAGCCGCCGCCGGTGATGAAGGCCACCTGGCCCCTGTGGGACAGAGGCACGGTGAGAGCCGGGCCCCGGGGAGGCGGCTCTCGCGGGCCCCGGAGCACCGGCACTCACTGGAGCAGGTCGGGGCTGAGCAGGTGCCGGTACTGCGGCAGACATTCGTCCCCGTCCTCGTCCGGGGGCACCTGCGCGGCCATGGCGGCCTCGGCCATGGCGGGGGCGGTGCTGCTCACTGCGCCTGCGCGGGCGCCGCCGCCGTCGCCTGGCAACGGGGAGCGCTCCGGGACACAGCGACACCGAGCGGCCACGGCGGGAACTGCAGCGCGGGGAGAGCGGGGCCGTCCCAGGGCTCCCAGTGATATCCCAGTGAGATATCCCAGAGATATCCCAGTGAAATATCCCGGTGAGATATCCCGGTGAGATATCCCGGTGAGATCCCAGTGAGATATCCCCGTGAGAGATCCCCGTGAGAGATCCCAGAGATATCCTAGTGCTTCCAGAGATATCACAGACATATCCCAGAGCTGGCCCTCTGATCCCTGTGCTCCCAGCGAAATCCACCGTGCCAGTGCTGTCCCAGTGCTCCCAGTGCTGTACTGGAGCTGTCCCAGCGCTCCCAGTGATATCCATTGTGCCAGTGGTGTCCCAGTGCTCCCAGTGCCGTCCCAGCGCTTTCCCAAGTGTCCCAGTGGCCCCCGGTGCCACCCAGCGGTGTCTCAGTGCTTCACAGTAGCATCCCAGCACCTCTCAGCGGTGTCCCAGTGCCACCCAGAGGTGTCCTACTGGTGCCCAGTTGTGTCCCAGTGCCACCTAGCGGTGTCCCAGTGGTTCCCAGTGTCGCAGGGAGCCCCCAGTTTTACAGCTCAGACCCCAACCCGGTCTCTTCCCGTCACCTGCACAGCCCAGTTCTTCACAGGGCCTCCTAGTACCGCCTGAGTGCTCCCGGAGCCATCCCAGAGCTTCCCACCGCTATCCCAGTTTCCCACAGAGCTCCCCAGTACCGATCCAGTGCCTCCCAGGAGCAGTCCATGGACACCCCGAGCTTCTCGGAGTCTCCCAGGGACATCCCAGTGCCTCCCAAAACTTCCAGTACCAACCAGTACCTTCCATGGATGTACCAGTGACATCCCAGAGCTTCCCAGTACAGCCCCAGGGCCCTCTGGGGACATCCCAGTGCCCCCCAGAGCCTTCCTGTGACACCCCCAGTGCCCTCTGGTGTTACCTCAGTACATCCCCAGAGCTTCCCAGTGTCACCCCAGTCTCCCAGTGAAATCCCAGTGCCCTCCCAGAGCTTCTCGGTGCCTCTGCAGGGACATCCCAGTGCCCTCCATGATCACCCAGTGCCTCCCAGAGCTTCCCAGTACCACCCCAGTGCCCTCTGGGGACCTCCCAGTGCCCCCCATGATCACCCAGTGCCTCCCAGAGCCTTCCTGTAACACCCCCAGTGCCCTCTGGTGTTACCTCTGTGCATCCCAGAGTTTCCCAGTGACATCCCAGTGCCTCCCAGAGCTTCTCAGTGCCTCTGCAGGGACATCCCAGTGTCTCCCAGTACAGCCCCAGTGCCCTCTGGGCACATCCCCGTGCCTCCCAGGGCTCCTCAGTACCACTCCAGTGCCTCCCAGTACCACCTCAGTGCCCTCTGGGGACATCCCAGTGCCTCCAGAGCTTCCTGCTGACATCCAAGGGAGGACAGCGGAGTCAGAGCTGGGGACACAGGGGTTTATTGGGGTTTGGGGTGCCCCGGCCGGGGCCCTAGAGCCCGTAGATGTTGTCCCTGTCGCTGCTGTCCCAGGCCACCAGCTCGTCCCGCCGGAACCAGAAGCCGATCTCCCTCTGGGCCGTCTCGGTGGAGTCGCTGGCATGGACCACGTTCCTGCGAGGGGACAGGGATGGGGACAGTGCCACGGCCCCGGGCTCCCGCCCCCGCGGCCCTACCTGGTGATGTGCACGCTGAGGTCCCCGCGGATCGTCCCCGCGGCGCTGCTGTCCCCAACCATGGCCCGTGTGCACCGCACCACGTTGTAGCCCTCCCACACCTGCGGGACAGGGACAGCGACAGCGACAAGGACAGGCACAGGGACAGCTGAGCCCCCTGCGCCCCCGGGACCCCCGGGCTGTCCCCTCACCATGGCCACCACCGGCCCCGAGGTCATGTAGGCGACGAGCGCGGGGTAGAAGGGCTTCAGCCGCAGCTGCTCGTAGTGCTGCTCCACGAGCCTCCGGTCCGCCTGGGCACGGCGGTGACAGTGACACCCGGGCGGTGTCCCCGCCACCCCCGCTCCCGGAGCTGTCCCCGGCTACCTGGAGCAGCTTCATGGCCACCAGCTTGAAGCCGCGGCGCTCGAAGCGCTGGATGATGTCCCCGAGCAGGCGCCGCTGCACCGCGTCCGGCTTGGCCAGCAGCAGCGTCCTCTCCTGCAGCGCCGCGGGGGCTGCGCGGGTCACTGTCACCGCCACTGTCACCACCGCGGGACACCGGACACACCCGACACCGGCACGGGGGCAGCAGGGCCCCGAGCTCGCCCCGCCGCACCAGGGGCTGTACTCGGCCCCGAGGTGCCAATGGGAACCCGTCCCCATCGCTGTCCCCATCCTCGTCCCCATCGCTGTCCCCATCCCGGGGCGTGTCCCCTGGCCAAGCTGTGCCTCTCAGGCTGCTGGGGTCCCAGGGGATGTGTCGCAAAGCCCTGATGGGTGCTGGGGACATGTCCATGGCCAGAAAACAGCCTTTAAGCCAGCCATGCCTGTGACGTGTCCCCGTGTCCCCGTGTCGGGGACTGTCCCCTGCCTGGCCACGGGGCCTTCCCCCCGCCCGGTCACAGCGCTTCGCTGCTGGAGGGGAAAATCGGTGACCGAGGGTCGGCAGGGTCCGGTCCCGATCTCACCCGAGGGACAGCACGTTTCGGTCCCGGTGTCACCCGAGGGACAGCACGGTCCGGTCCCGCTGTCACCCGAGGGACAGCAGGGTCTCACCCCGCCCCTGGCCCTGCCGCGGCTGCGCCGCAGGAGGGGACAGCAGCCCCAGGGGACAGCGCATCCCGTCCGCTGGAGGGACAGAGGGGACAGGAAGGAGGGGAAGGGAGAGAGGAGGAAGGGAGGGGACATTTCATTCCCAATCTCTTCGGGGTCCCGTCCCGGGCTGGGGGTGGCCCCGCTGCTGGCGGGGACAGAGCCGGACAAACCGAGCCCGTGAGCTCCCCCGGGCACTGCTGGGCACGGCTCGGCTCTGCCAGGGCACTGCCCTGCCCTGTCCCCCGCAGCGGGGTCCCCCAGCACCGCCCTGGGGACACTGAACCCCTTGGGACCAGCTCCGGGCTCTGTGCCATGGCGCCACACGGGGCTGGGGACAGCAGGGCCGGGCACTGACTTGTCCCACGAAGGGGCGACAGGAGCCCGTGAGCCGCCACCCGCCCGGCACGGGGGGACCGGGGACACTGCGAGGGGACGGGACACCGAGGGGACAGCGTGGGAACGGGAGCTTTGAGGGGCGGCACAAGCAGGGGACCGGGAACAGGATGGGAATGAGGACAAGGTCCCCAGGAGCAGGACAGGGAGGGGCTGAAGGGCCCCAGGGATGGGGACCGGGGACACTGGAGCAGGGGTGGGGACAGGTCCCCAGGGGTAGGATGAAGGTGGGGACAGGGTCCCCAGGGGTAGGATGAGGTTAGGGACAGGGTCCCCAGGGGCAGGACAGGTCGGGCCGTGTCTCACCGGAGCCGTAGCAGCGGGGCGCGGGGGGCCCCAGGCCGGGCTGTCCCCGCGGGAGGCTCCGGGCCAGGCAGCGCCCCACGGAGCCCATGGCGGCCCCGGCGGGTCCCGGCCGGGCTCGGTCGCTCTGCGGAGGCTTTAAGGGCCGGGGACGGGTCAGGATTCCGTCCCTCCCCTTAAAGGCCGCCGCGCCTGCTCGGGACATCCCGGGCCGGAGCATCCTCCCCATGCAGAGCATTCTAGCACGGAGCATCCTGGCACGGAACATGCCGGCTTGGAAGCCCAAACCCTGCCAGGGTGGGAGCACAGCCCACGGCCACCCCGAGGGGAGCCAGACCCTGCCAGGACCCAAACCTGGGTCATGCTTTGCCCTCCATTCAGCAGCAGGGAGAGGCTGGGTCAGCCCCCAGTGCCCCCCTAGGGCAGGGCAGAGCTGCTGGGGTGCCCAGAGGAGCTCAGGAGCAGGACCAGGGCTGGACCCTGCACTGGGGGCTGATGCAGCATCACCAGCAGGAACAACGAGGACTCCAAGTGGAGACAGGGGCACTGCTCCAGGTGTGGCTGGCAGTGAGTCAGGATGGCACAGACCATCACCCCCTTCCTCCCTGCTGCTCTCACCCCTCTGGAGGCAGCTCTGCCCTCACCTGCACGGCCTGGAGCAGGTGAGGCACATCCTGGGCATCTGGACTCTGCTCCAGGGCAGGGAGCACAGAGATGCAGCTGGTGCCAGCTCAGAGCCTGGATGCACGGATGGCACAGATCATCCAAAGAGCATCCACCATCCCCCATGACAAAAGGGCACAGGGAAGGGGCTTGTCCACAAAACTGAATCACAGGAACCATGGAGGAAGTGCTGCCACACTGCAGCTCACCCCTGGCACCTCCCAGCTGTGCAGGTGCAGCCACAGCACAGCCACATCTCCAAACATTCCCAGGAGAACATCCCAGGAGTGCTCCCTTCCCAGAGCCTGGGGCTGCTCCTGCCCCTGCAGCTGCCCACCTAAACACAGGGAATTAAGAATTATTCCACAGAATCATGGAATGGTTTGGGTTGGAAGGGACCCCAAAGCCCATCCAGTGCCACCCCTGCCATGGCAGGGACACCTCCCACTGTCCCAGAGTGCTCCCAGCCCTGCCCAGCCTGGCCTTGGGCACTGCCAGGGATCCAGGGGCAGCCACAGCTGCTCTGGGCACCCTGTGCCAGGGCCTCCCTAGTGTCCCATCTAACCCAGCCCACATTCAGCCTAAGGCCATTTCATCTTGTCCTGTCACTCCATGCCTCTCCAATTTAATCTATTAAACATAAAAATTAGGACTGATCTAATACTGCTTCCTGACCAGAGAAGAGAATAGAAATTATTCTCAGGGAAAAGAAACCATTCCCAGCTGCATGATCAGAGATCCACAAGCCCCACACAATCTGCTCCTGCCTGACCGGTGTCTGGGATTTTATCAGACTGATGCCACGACTGTGTCACTGGGCAGAGGGTGAAGTTCAGCTCCAGGCTCCCTG